GAGAGAATGAACTAAAAACACGAAACACGATTTTGCAGTTTTTCTTCGCTAGATGGCACGTAAGAATAGCAAATCAAATTCATCGCTTATGCTCTTAACACAAAAGCTTAATATTATAAAGAGGCCATTTCAATGACAGCACACACGTAGCGGCCGCCCATCATGATACCCCTAGTCTACTTGGTGGAAATCGAAAGGTTTCTTAGAATTAGTTGAGCCCGTAACCGAACCTGTGCATACGCTACACTTCCTCTTAAATGAACAATACAGAAATTACCTATCAACGACACCGAAACTTCAATATTCCAACTCTAAAATGAGTAACAAAGGACCGTATATAGCTTGCACTCAAACCCAAAGTGTGAGAAGCGGAACAAGTCTTTCTCTTGCAAATAGTGATCATGGCTCACTGACCCCCTCCTTCTCCCTTAAGAAGAAGTTGGGGTTGAAGGTTGACGGCAGAACACAGTAGGGAAGTCTGCAAGAGGATCATGATGGGAAGATGGGCGAAGAGGATTGCTTTACATGGAAAATACGAGTCTCACTCCTTTTAGGATAGTATTTCAAATTACAAGACTGTTGTAATGAGGGGATCGACTAGAGAGTTCGGGAGCAAAAGAGGGAAAGGTAGTCAGATGGTGGGATAGGACTTATAGTAGATAATGACCACAATTCCAAGAGTCTGGTCTAGAAAGTAATAGAGCAGAATAGTTTGAATCGTGGAACGATTAATGTTCAGATGAAGTTTTCGACCAGCTCTGCATGAATACGGATATCTACGACCAAGTAATGAAAGGAATGGTTGATTCCGCGTTGGCAGGCTTCAATACAGCAGTGTGCGCTTATGGCCAGTCAGGCGCTGGTGATTATTCTGTTCTTCTCGAGTAATCGGAAACATAAACCGAAAAACTTCCGAGTTCGTTAAGGTAAAACGCATACACTGACGGGATCAAACTCGGAAGACGGCGTGGTACAATGCACATTCCAAGCGCTTTTTGACAGGATCGCAAAGGTCAGATCTTGTTGAGAGTTGTTACTCGAGTTTTTGATTTCTGTTTTTTTACAGTCGGAGGATCGCAATTACATGTTGCGGATTTCATACGTTGAGATTTACAATGAGAAAGTTCGCGATCTGTTGAGTGAGCACGCCGTTGACTTGCCAATATACGAAAACAAAGACGGTGTGGCTCAGATAGAAGGCCTGAAGGAAGTCGTGGTCACGGAAATGAGTGAAGTAGAGGAGCTTCTGAAGCAAGCACAAGGTATTTTGTTTTTGACAGTTTATTTGATTCATACTTTGGAGATTACCTGACCTTTTGGTTCGAATGTGGGATTGTTCTTCAGAGCATCGCCAGCTAGGAGAGACACTTTTAAATGAAAGAAGTTCGAGATCCCACACCATCATTCGACTGACAATTGAATCTCATGAAGGTATGTGTCGCCCTTTTTGTGAAGATTTACATCAAAATCTTCTATTTGTTCAATTCATTGCTGTTAAGCAAGGGAGCCCAGTCAATTATCGACCATGCGTTGCTTAGAGAATGTATTTTAGTTAAATTGGGTGGAAATGCGACGAGGTGTTCTATTATGAACCTCGTTGATCTTGCTGGAAGTGAGAATGCGGCAGCTGCTGGTACTCAGGGATTACGTCAAAAGGTCGCCTCTATCGATCACTATAAATTAATTCTATCGCCATCATTACAAGCAGATTTAGGAAGGTGCCAACATCAACAAATCTCTTCTTGCGCTTTCAAAAGTAGTGTCCAGTCTAGCAGATAACCAGTGAGTTTCCGACTCGAAATATTGTAAAGATAGGAAGCAGTAGCTCTAATGTTGTGATTCGATGTACATTTTAATTTATAAGGAAGTTCATACCATATCGGGACTCGAAATTAACACGAATCCTGAAACCATCCCTTGGAGGAAACTCGAAAACGGTTATAATTTGCTGTGTGAATCCTCTATCAGTAGCCGAGACAAGCTCAACCCTGAAGGTTAGCTGCTGATGAAAGAACAAAGATCAGATCGAAATCAATAAGTATTTCTTCATTCTTTTCAGTTTGCCAAACAAGCGAAGAAAATCATTACAAGACCAGTAGTAAATGAAGTGAACGATGACGGTCTTCTCGCAAAATGCCTACGAGAAATAGAAGTTCTCAAACAGGAACTTGAGGTATCAGAGGCAAATGTTGTCTGTTTGTAACCCTTCCGTGAGATGCCTGTGTGAGAGCTACCATCTGATCACTTCACAAGTTGTTATCGAACCCATCGGTTAGTTCAATGTTGGATCTGTGCCATTCAGAAGACGAAAACGAAGAAGGAAAACGATGAAGAGGAAAGGGTCCGCGAGCAAAGAACGAAGTTGGCTGAGTTGATGAAAGGTATTCTTAATGGAAGAGGCACGGCTGAAACAAGTTCATACCTGGTGCGTTTTTTCACTAAAGATTCTCTTTGGATGTAGCTTTCTTTTGCAACTTTTCGAGCATAATGAATGTCATCTAGAGCAGAAAAGCACGTAGACAAACATGGGCTCCCGGGAATGATCTTCCATTCCTGAACAGGAGAGGTTCTCTCTCACCACCGTGCAAGAAAGAACGTGCGTTGGGTTTAATTGAAGAATGCGGAGGACAGGCATCGGTACTTAGTTTAACTAGTGTTGGTACTCTGTTTTGAGTATTAGATTATGATATGACCATTGTGTTTCGTGACTGAGTTTTACACTCTTTTTTTAGGATGAAAAGATTCAAAGCACAGGAATGGATACGGAGGAAAAGGCGAGCTCAGTGTTCCTTATCCCAGATTTCGTTCCAAGTGGAAGACGATCGATTACCAAGACGGATATCGAAGTACAGGTAAAAGGCTTTGATTACAACGGAAGTATCATTTTCTGCTTCTTCTCGGATACTATCTTACTACAACCGTCTAGCTGTTTTGGTAGTCACGTCATGTTCTCTTTCAGACTTCGGAACCATACCCAGAAGATCGATCGGACGAAGTGGCTACGCTCAAGAAGGGAAATGCGTACCTTGTCGAACAGCTTTCTACAAAGACTAAGCACTGTAAAGAGCTTGAGGTGAATAGTACAGAAACTCCAGACAATTTTGGTGAATACTTTTTTACCGCACTTACCGTTATGAGGTTTAGGAACAAAGGGAAGAGTTTGCAAATGAGTTTGAATCATTGAAAGTCGTTTTGGGACGCATGCAAGATGTCGAAACTGGAGCTTTGATTCTGGAGGTTTGTCAGACCCTAACCCTTCTGTAGTTCTGATTGTTTATTACATTTTACAGAAAGAAGTGGAGGATATGAAGCTTGAAAATGCAAAACTCAGTGAAGAAATAGTGGCGGTGCGAAAGGAGAATGCCTCCTTGAAGGTGTGCATAATTTGAATCGGACCTTGGTTGTAGTTTTTCCATAAACTTCCTTATATTGTCATTCCATGCACGCCTCACCACCTGTTGGACCTCTGTCATTTCTGACCATCGATAATAGAATTTCTAGTCATGTATGATGGAGAACGAAGGCAATCCTGCAGATAGAACTCGATTACTTCATCGTATTGATGAGCTTCACGAAGAGTTATGTGAAACGAGAAAGTCAGCTTCGCAGGCTAAGGTGAGTTTCAATGATTAATTTGGAACCGTGTAAGCAGACTAATCATGCAGTACGCGTAATTTTATGATGCGAAGATTAAAGTTGTGTCACAAGACCATGCGACCTGATGCTTTTTAATGAAATGGTGTATAACGCTTATCCTCACTTTCTGTAAAATAGTTCTTTTACTGTTTCTGAGTTTCTGTGCCCCTTTTTTAAGATGTTGTTTTGAATATGTTCGATTGCGTAGCAATAGGTACAATAGAATTGTTTCAGAGTGACTTGTCATCGACTAAAGATGAACTGGAGCAAGTACGAATCAATTACGAATGTCTTCGCAAGAAACTAAGTGAGATTGAGTCCAGTTCAGAAGATGCTCGCCATCAATATGCTAGCGCCTCTACAGGGTGGAAAGAAGAAAAGCAGGCATTACTGGAAAAAATTGAAGAATTATCTGTGAGAGTTTTAGTTCATGACGTACTTTTTATTGATTGTACAACACACACGTTTTACAGGCCTCAACTGTGAAAGACGCAGATTCTTTGGCACTGGAGCGGGAAAGAGAAATCGAATCGCTAAAAGAAGCATTGGCTACAGCTAGAAAGGAGATTGAAGCAGCAGTTTATGCTCGAGAAAGCGTCAAGAGGGAGTTTGAAGAACAGTATTTGGTAGCAATGGCTGCGAGTGAGGAGGAATTGCAGCAGCTCAAGAAAGACAATTCAGACTTATGTGCTCGAATCGATGCGCTATTGGTAAGAGTTCATCTCCGTTAATTTTTGATCGGTTGCGCATAACTTCATCATTTTTACTAAAAGTCGTTTAAGCTACTGGTTCTCGGGAAATTCCACTTCCCATCGCACATTATTGACCGCCTGGGGGAATGGAAGTGATCAATGTAACTTATCGAGGATTCGCTTAGCTCTTGCGCTCGCTTAACAGCATTTCCCCTATCAGTCAGTTCTAACCAGTGATTTTATAAAATGGAATCTCTTCACGTCGAATTATGTTCGCTAACACTCAAACGAATGATAGGAAGAGCCCGATTGCTGCGTTCTTCCTCTTACCTAAACTTCTCCCTTGAACGATAGTATGGACGATCAAATTAGTGAAGTGTCTTCAAAGAAGTTTCACACGAATCAGTAGGCTTTGGTGTTTTAGCACAGCTCTGATTCTGGATCCGAGGAAGAAGTTACATCGCTCAAAGAGGAAATCGCGGAATTGAAAGATGTCATTGAACGGAAAAATAAAGCTTTGGAAGTTGCAAAAACGCATAAGGACGAGTTGGAAATGAGCCACAAAACGGTAACTTTGATTTCTAAGTAAACTATTCATAAGCATGTGTCATGCTGTTGTTAGGTTAGGTTAATATTATCTACAGTCTGACAGGGTTAGGTCATTACAACGTCTTATTTTTTCTTTATTTTTTTTTGCTATGCTTTCTCAGTAACAGGTTGAGGCTTGGTTTAGTATTTTTAACCTTATTACATTGAGTACGACTATTGTAGTTATTTTATGACTTATCGGGCTTTGAAGAAATAGTAATATTACTGACAGAACTCATAGAGCGCTACCTGAAGTGGAAGAAACTCATTTCCAAAACTTTCATCACAAATTTCAGAGATAACAGTGCTGGTTATTGAGGGAACATGAAACTTTCTTTCGTGTTACTATAACTTCATAATTTCGCTTTAGATCGATCGTCTATCAAGGGAAAAGAAAGAGCTTTCTTCTCGACTAAAACTGAAAACTGAGAACACGGAGTTGTTGTCGTCAAGGATCAACGCCTTGAGAGATGAAATTAATGAGAAACAGGTTGAAGTGGCGAAGGCTCAGAAGGAAAAGAAGTTAGCCGAAGCGGCTCAAGAGAAGGTTAGTACAGAATTAACTTGAAAGCATACTTCTATTCGAAGCGTGCAAAGTGACTTTTCGATGCCCTTAGAAGCAAAAGGGCATTTTGATAGTAAAAACGATGATGAAGAAGGAAAGGGGAGGTTGTAGTGCATCATCTGAAAAAGAAATCAAAGTATTAGATAGATTTAGTTGAGTTGGGGAAAAAGTTAGATACATGTGCGGTCAGCTTGAGAAAGTGGTGCTTCTGCATCGCATGTTTAATGGAAGCGATAAACCATTCGTTCTCTCACACCACGGCACTCGTTTTGTATCCGTCCTTTGAGTGAAGGATCTTTTTTTTTCTTTGATTCTGAAAAAATGCATTGTAGATCCAAGAGGAGAACGTCAAACTGCGCAGCAATATCACCAGTTTACAAAATGAATACACGAAATTCCGAGCTGACGTTTCTTCTGAATTAAATGAAAAGAACGCAAGAATTGTTATGGTGAGTGAAGCGCTCAACATCGATACGGGCTTTTCTACAACTTTACTGCTACCCTAGGTGCATTGAATACATAGCTGCCAATTTGAAAAACGTAGCTTTTGATAGCAATGCTTTTAACACCATCATTCTAAGGTTGTTGGTCCTGATATCCTGAGTTATAGTTCGATTGTTGCAGTGATAGGGACGTGTTTCAGTTGCAAGAGCAAGTAAGAAGTAGCCAACACAAAATAATTGCCTTGGACACTGATCTGGGCATTGCCCAGAAAGATGTCGAGCGTTACAAAAATGCGATTTCCAACATGACGAAGGCCCAAGAAGCAGCGCATACCAGAGAAAAAGAGGTTTGGTTTATAGTTTCTTAGTTGTTGCAGTAATATCATACACGTTATTTCTCCAGGAAGGCCATTTGAGAAACAAGTTGAATGTCGCTTTGGAAGATCTGGAATCTATGAAGAGAGCAAAACAGGAAGCTGAGGAGAAATTAAGCAACAAAGAGAAGATGCTCAGAAAGGCGATGGACGAAATTACGAAATTGGAGCTGTGGGCATTCTTTTTGATTTTTACTTTTCTTTGATGATATGTTTCATATTAAGACTTGTTCTTTACATGGTAATTTTGAATATAGTGTTCTCAGGGCTTCTCAGTCGTCAGAGTGGCTCAGAGAAAAAGCGTGCATGACACGTCAAATTGAAGATCTTCAAGGAGAGGTATCTTTCATTTTCTAAACCGTCTTTTTAGTTCTACTGTTTCCCGTTGGACACTTCGAGGCTGAGTAGGTGGTCAGTTTAGCTTCGCGAAACAAAAGAGGCTCTTGAAGAGCTGCAAGCTTCGACAATGGTAAAGCGTGAGGAGCGGAAGAGAATGGCCGAAGAAGTTGCACGTGAGCAGTTAGAAAGGGTCAACGCAAGCAGGGCAGCGATCTCATCCAGTCTGCCCGAAGTGAGATTTGGCTGGTTTTTTTTTCATGTGATGCCAAGTAAATTCACCGTGTTCGTAAAAATATAAGTTGTTTTGTTTGTAGGGTTTATATGTATTCGTTTCCTTTGAATTACGCTTGATTAGATTCGATAGAAAGCCATGAATAACCTTTCTGCCCAATGCTGAACCAAGTTAAATTTCACCTACTCGTTGCTCTCTTCCCGGATGGTACACGTAATCTGAAACACCCAATATAACATGTCCTTTTCATGGCTGTTATCATGAACTTAAATAAAATACTCGCATGTTGAATGCGAATCTACTATATAATCATCATAACTTGTTAAATGCTAATTGGCTTGGTTGTGCTATACTGTTATTATTTCAGATCGCAAAATTGAAGCAGGATCTTGAAGATGTGAAGAGAGAACTGTCCGAGAGCAAGGAGAAGAATAGGAGATATAGAATGGTATCAATAGAATTTTATTTCCGTCTGATTAAAATACAGCAAAGAAGTTTTTTTTTTTTTGAAATTTTCAACAAAAATTTTTCCAGCAAAAGATTAACGGTATCCAGTACGTCGATGAATTGAAGGGAAAGATAGCGAAGATGGAGATCGATCTCAAGAAAACGAAAGGAGAGCTGACAGAGAAGAACGAAGAGTTGCAGAAGGTGCTGAATGATCCCCAAGTTTCATTTGTTAGTTTATAATTTGTGTCATCCAAATATGATGATTAAATTTCCCGAAGGTTCTTGATGTTCCCTATCGTGTAGAACGACAACCGCTTTATGTTTTTGGTACTTTGGTGATTTTCAGGCACTCAGGTCCAAAGCTCAGCTGGAGGCCATGATTAACGAAAAGGAAAACCAATCTGCAAAAGGATATTCGAAACCGTAAGTTATTCTAAGAAATTAGGCATTGAAAAGGCAGGCTTATTTGGTTTTCTCTATGTCTTGTATTTTCTATGACTTCTGTGTTCCCGATATGAATGGTGCAGTTTTTCACAAGTGTTCGTTTTGCTCCATGCTAAGAGGTGAATGTAGGGGAAATTACTCGATGTGACAAAGCTAAAATGCCAAGGCTTACAACTTAAAATGTTGCTCTTTCTGATGAAATACACGAAAATTTTCGTTTTAGGCGACTTTTTGATGACGAATTAATCAATTCAAACGTAAAGCTGAATTCAGCGGTGGATCAAAACTATTCTTGATTTTAGCACTGCAATGCGGCCCAAGGAACGGAATACTCTGTTGCATGAAGAACCGGAATGCAAACAGCAGTGAAGAAAAGCTTGCAAAGGTCGAGTTAAATGATTTTCTTTCGATGATCTCCAATCTTTGCTCATTTTTTATGAGTCATTTCTGTTGTGATAAATATGCATGTGAACTGACTGTAAAATATTATTGATTACCAAGGTGGCTTTGACTAACAGTAATTCAGCTTTAATTATAAATTGTAGTTACTTATTCTAATGTTTTGCGTTCATACTGTTTATACTACTAAAACGTCGATCTCGACTAAATCCGTTGTACTGCACTTAACTGTAATTTAATTATAGCACTCCAGAAAACGCCACAGTTTTAACTGATCTCTTGTTTTATTATTTCCTGTAAATATCTAATTAAACGAATAAAACATGTTTATATATCTGCTCTAAGTCAGAGTGATTTAGACCTTTGGGGGCAGTTTTTGCTGTTGTTATTCGGAAGTATTACACTTGTCTTAACTTACTGTGACTGACAGCTCATCCTTTTTTGCTTCTAACCTGGCTAGAATCCAGTAATACGCATCACGAGAAAAAACGTTTCTGGACCAATTCGTTATGGACGCGGTATTTGGGGTCCTAATGGGGCATGAATACTGAATTAGCTAAGGGAATGAGTTCCAGAAACAAAAGGATGTGCAATTCCGACAAGTGGTAGCAATTAACTACTTGAGGGCTGAAAGTCTCAACTTGGGGAAACGGGGAGGGTGCAGATATCGAACAGGTTTTGATCTAGATATATACGGATTTGAAAGGGTAGCGATTAAAATTTTCCTATTAGTTTGCATTTTCCACTCTGCTAAGTCCATAGGTTATACTAGGGGGACCGGCTGGTTGCCGTGTCCTACAGATACCCTCTCAAGCATGCAATCATTCGAACCGTCTACCTTACCAAGTTGATATTGCTCCAACTCAGTACTAGCCAGAAGTCATCAGAGAGCGCGGTTTCACCGCAGAAAGCCATTGTGGGAACAGATTCCCAATTCTGGAATCTCCCACGCTCAAGATTCGAATAAGTATATTCTCAACCCCGTTCGAAAGTTTCCACTAGGGGCCATATTACCCACAATGATAAGTGAAGTAATGGAATACTCATTTCTTTCCGATGCAACTAGGCGGCCGCTCATAGTGCCGAAAGAGTGGGTTCCAACGTTCTACAGAACCACGGCTTCCCTTCTTCTGTCTGGATGGTTCAAAATAAGCTGCACAGGATTATGATAATGCAAACTTTGTGGTACAACTTAGAATACCTAAACCAGCAGCAGTAAATTTACGCCTCCAAAGCACGTGTCGTGATTGCGGATAAAGTAGCTATATCGCGTCAGCTGTTGTTTATGTAATTTTCAATTGAGATGAATACCTACAAATTTCCTCAAAGCATGACTCGCCCTGGAGCATGGGCGAAAGTGTGGACCAATTTTGTAAAATACTTGAAAAAGGATTGGTCTACGAAGGTAAGATTCCCAGTTTCACTTCTGATCATGATTTTATTTCATAGTGTTTTGACATTTTTCAAACATATTATGCTGCTTATTTGACACTCCAAAGTAATATCTACAACTTTGATCAGTTAGCATGTTTTCATCAGTGCGAATCCAAAATTTTTCTTCCAGACCTATGTTGCGGAAGATTCGGCAGGTCATCGCTATTACGAAATAAGGAATACTAGACAAAATGTGACACGGTATGTTTTACTGTTCTTTACAGTTCTTTACAACCTTGTCATTTCAAATGAATTTTACTCTGCTGAGTTACGGGGAAGCCTTATTTGATTTTTTTCTGCAAAATTGGCATTGCATCTGGTAAACTTGCAATTGGTGGCGTACACTAATTTGATCTTGCTGTGCTCCGCATTGCCTGGCTCTCTGAGCTAGCTGTTCATCTAGATGATGCATTTTATCACTACTTACCATTGTCACCTTTCTTTCCGTTGATCATCGATTTCTTCGAGCGGGCGCCAGTAACCCCTTCATCCGTCCCTGTCGCGAGCCCGAGTGGTTTTATAAGTAGAGCTCAGAAAATAGGAACACAGTCCATGTAAATAATATATACCCTATCTGTATGAAATACCTCGAAAGACTGTGACCCCGTGGAATCAGATTTAAACCCCATTGAGACTATGTTAGTGTTCTGTTGAGAAGCGTAGCTTGATGACTGGAAGGGTTTTTTGTAGAGGTGTGGGTCTACAAATTTGCTTCCTAGGCTCACAGTGAATTTTTAGAACGATCTTAACTTTTGTTGAATCGATGCTGTTTGGAACTTGTCTCTACTTTTTCATTTGCAATGCTTATTTTAGTGGTTATGATCCACCGCCTAACGCACCAATGTCTCAACCGAGCTTAGAATGGCAATCCTGGTTGAAAGGCACTAGACGCTTTCCTCCTAGCGAAGAAGAGCTACAACTGAATCAAATGAGGCAACAGGTTTGTAAAGCTGCAGTGTTCCCAAGGGAACTATTCAGTTCCTTGTCCTCATATAATCCTTTTCAACAATTGTCCGGGTGAAATCCATTCGAGCTTAGTTTGCGGAACATCGTCATTCACTTAAATCTGTTTCTTGTGTTCGAAGAATATAAATTGCAGAAGAAGACAGAAGACTACTAATTGAAGTCTTGCTTTGTGGGATTCTTTGCTTTTGATGGTTTCCCAACAACGGCCGCTGAAATACACTTTGCGTTAGATGTATATCTAGAAGAGAACAGATATAGTTGTAGTGGTGGTCTAGATGAAGTTCAGTTAAATGCTCAAACCTTTTGTGATGTGTTGTGTAGCGTTGTACGGACAGATCTCCGATCGAAGAGATAGATCTCTATTAATGAATTCGAGCAGTGCTTACCGTAGAGTTTCTTCTAACAAGTGCCTCTTTTTTTGGACAGATGTATTTGTTCATGTACTCAAGATTAAATATTCCAATAATGTTTTGTTATTAGATGTTGTGAAGTTCGGTTCCATTTGCAGGCACAGTTAGAACAAAATGCGTCAACAGAGCAGCGAGCTCCCCAAGTGGCCATAAGTGGTGGTAATGAACCGAAGGATAAGCCACAACAATTTCCACGTCGTGATGATCTGGAATCGGCTCCTGGAGCAAAGAAAAGCTACTGACTCAACTTTGCTTTTGTAGCCTGCTATCTGAAGCTAGGTTAGTGGTCATTGGTGATCTAGTGTCTTTGATAGTTATCTTAAGCCAGTAAGTAGTTATTTGTAGACTAGTGTCCTTCATACTTGTGTGTTACGATATGTCATTTGTATGTTGACTCCTTAGGATGAATATTTCATCCATGATTGTTCCGATTAGCGTTTACTCGTTTTTTTGGATTGCGCTTCTTCATAAGTTCACATTGATTGTACAGCACTATCACGAGTTTTGAGTTCAAAGGAATACTTAGTGTTTTGTTGACGTCTCCTGACTTAAACATATTCTAAATAAACGTTCAAGGCAGCAGCAATAGCACCAACGATGTTTTTTCTCTAGATTTCTTTGTTCAGCAGTTCTGTATTATGCTTAAGACGTCAGGCTATCCGCTGCCTGAGAGCAGTTGTCTGTATCGATATGCTAATAAATTCGTCCTGTAAATGCACAGCTTTTATTTCAGTTTCTTTTTGGGCACGATTGTTTTGTTTGATCCATCGTAAAATGTCACAAGCATACTGAACAGTGCGGTTCCTCCACAGCTGATTCAGGATTCGATATGAGTTTTCATTTTTTCACAACTTCAACGATTTTTATTAATAACTGGTTACATGACGGGGGAGGGGCAGCTCTAGAACTGTTGTTGGACTTTAGATGACTACCAGTGATGTGGCTGTACTCAGCGGACATGATCATAGCTGCTCATATCTTCGTGAAAGAAGGTTGGTAGAAACAGCCTTCGTCATTACTTACTTTAGTTTGATGTTACTTTCATACTTCTTTGAACACTTGACGAATACGTTTTTGATGGCTAGGACAGTAATCCGTATTCTTTTCAAACACAAGAGGTGTCCACCAAGTGTATCGCATTTGAGGTTGGAAGATCTGAGGACTCACCCAAGGTTTACGAATTACCCTGAAGTACTGAAGGACTTTAATCGAACCAATGAATAGGTATCCATCTCTTTTCGAGCATCGCTCAGATTGAAAGGAGTCGCAAGTTGTGAACAGTATCCGAGCAATATCTTACAGTGAATTCTATCCAATTGCAAACATAAGGCCAAAGGTTCTAGAGCTAGTAAAAAGCTTCAGCGTTGGATATACATGGTTTTGTTAAGCCCAAATTCACTATACACCACTTCGCGAGGAGTGTGATGACAAGAAAGCGAGGCTAATATTTGCTCCTCCGTCACAACAGTTTCCATCCTTTCGATTCTCGCCTTACCGAAGTTGTTCAAAAACTTATTCTATGCCCAAATGCTTATCATGAGCTTTCACGTCTCGACAGGACGTGATATGATATGAACCTCATATAAAAGGGTATAGACCATTCGAAATGATTCTCTCTGCAACCATGAGGTACTTGCCGATCCTACTCAACTTCGCCATACTCCAAGCCTTGACCCAAGACGAGATCCACACATATAGTAATGAAGAACTAGAGATGGAAACTTTAGCAGAGGAACCAACCAGTGACGAGGCGAATGAGGACGACATGTTATTCGAGGAGGAAGTGGTCACTGCCGAAGAATGGAAGGACGATAGGCCTTCATATATCTCATATGCGGACGCAGAGAAGATGGCAGAGGTCAGTACACTTTTCTTTTATGTTGTGGGGCCTGTAAGAAATAGGAAAGAGCGGGGTGAAGGACAGCCCATGTATAAAAAAAATAAGTTTTGAGGACTTTGTTTTTGACTTCGATCAATCCCACATCGTAGGATGCACCTCCGCACTCAACTTCCATTCAGAATAGTAGAGACGCTTTGAATGCGTATGTGACCTATATAATTGCTATTTGCTCTGGAGCCAGCCTTTGAAGAAAATGGGTGCTACTATCCTCCCCGACGAGACGGCAGCCAACCAACCGATTTTTGAGGGTCGAAAGCATGAGTGACTCTAATGGGTATCAACACGAGATTCATTCTCAGACCGGTGTAGGTGAAAGTAGGCCGTTACACCACCTCCTCCCGGTGAGGATAAAGTACCAACTGAGTATATCTTGAAGTGAACGGACATGTTGAGCATGCATGATAGTACGATCAGGAGGTTGCGCAGTCCACTATCGAATCGCTCAAGCTGTTGGCACAATTCCAGAAGTTGTTACTTTGAATACACTCATTCTGCCATCCAGGACAAGATGTTTACTGCCTCAGCACGACTGAGTTTTCTCAAAATTTCAGGATAAGCTCTATTTTATGATCGCTGCTGTGGACAAAAAAGGAGGAATGTCTCAAAATTTTGTGAAATATCTACCGGATCTAAATAAAGAACTAACAAAGCTCAATGAAACTCTTCAGATCTATCCTGTGAGTTTGGAATGGAATATTCTGAAAGCATATGCTGCAGCTATTAATCAGGCACATAGTGCTGCTGTACGTCATGTACAATAGCTCTTTTTCCTTATAGAGGATGGAGACAAGTGGTACGTTTCTAGAGGAACACATGGTCTTCAAATCTAGAGAGTCCCAGCTGTACAGTAAACTTTGGGTTGTTTTGGACCCAACTCGCGGAGATCCCAAGATCTCAGTATTTCGCGTGCAAACAAAAGGCGAATAAAAAAGATGGGAGGGTCACAATTGGAGGTACCCGAGGTTTCAAACTAAGCCAAAATCTTCGTATCAAAACACAGAGAGAATTTAAAAAGATGGAATATTAGCGAAGTGTCGATCGGAAATCCCAAACAAGTGGTCCTAATACTACTGTACAACCAACGGTTGTGAGTGTTTGTGCTCCAAGCTTGATCTCGAGCCATTTCATGCAGCAGAATCAGTTGCCAAAGCCCGCTTTTTGACCATCTGGTCCTTGATAGCTGATTCAGTTCCACGAAGTTGATGTGAGTTATAGGGCAGATTACTTTTTGACGTTTATATTTAGATGGACGTCCACGATCCGCAAAACTATAAGTTATCCCAACATCGAATCGTGGCGATACCCAGTGTCCTCCTATTTTTGGGCGATATGGAGCCAATCGTACATTATTCGAATCGTACAGCGACTGATATTACAAGATTTTATCAGGTTCACTTTCCTCCCTTATTCACTTTCTTATATGGTTTTTACTTTCGGCCGTACCTGTTATCCGTCGTGTGCCTCCAAGGTCCGTAGACTTGAAAAATGACCTAATGCGGTGTATTCGATAAAAGCCTTCCCAATGCTGAGTACCGCCTTCAGCAACCCAGAGAAAACACTTCTCCGATCAATACTGAATGATCGATATCAATCGATATTACCGTACAAAATCCCCTGTTCCACTCTTTATATTCAATTCGGTGATCAGCCATTTTCAGGCGGTGCTCGCAACTACGATTCAGATGATTGAAACCAATCAAAGCCTATCCGATTTCAAAGTGCGTTGCAGATCTTAGCAAAGTGTACTTGAATCCTTCGTTTGCTATGTTATTGCTACCTACAGGATTCAGCGTATGCCACTGTTTTATTCGTGGCCAGAGAAGATCGAGAATTGGACGCTATCTTAACCTTAGCAAGACGATTTTTAAATGTCAAATTTGGATATGTCAGGAATGGGTGAGCAGTTATCAGTAACTCCTAATAGAAAATACATAGAAATGTAAAAAAAAANAAAAAAAAACAAGCTCCCAGTGAGCTTGAAGGGACCAAGTGAACAACTAAAATTACGTATGTACCCAGATCAACCTTTTTGACACAGGAGAAGCATGTTTATGAGTGAAGAGCTCGAGAAAAATCGAGCGGAACTTTCTTTTTTTTGATCTTTCACCATTCGTCTATTGTTTCTGTCCGTGTTAGTTAAAGAACGTTGAAATTGCGTAGACACCTGAAGTTAACAGAAAATTGCATGCTCAACATTCGCTCCTGAAACCTCCCAATCCATTATTTGACGTTTTCCATTACTAAATTAATTACAGGTCTGGCATTGTAGAAGAGCATTTGCCTACACGTGTTCATGTGTTTCGTAAAGGAAACGAGCCAAGATGGTTCCCAACTGATACGTCCATTCACGAAATAGAGCACTTCATCAGGGTTTGTTTTATCGTTGTCTATCTACCCACGACGATTCAGTACTCAGTTTCGAATGAAACATTTTTTGATCGCTATTTTCCTCTAGATGGAAACGCATCAGCCCATCTTTCGATTCCCTATGGATGCCATCAGCTTATTGCCAACAGTTGACGAGCAAGCTTTCCTACTGTATGTGCATAATTCGGAGGAACTTTTGAGTAAGAACAATAGCTATCTTCGAATTTGAGACTTGCTAAAGTTCACTACAAAAATTACTCTCATAAGTTTCTAGAGACCTCTGTAACCACGATGGCCCCAATACCTATAACCAGTCACAACTTCCTCCTAATTAGTGGAACACTTGGAGGACTTGCTGTACGATGGTACAGTCGTGTGGGGTGGGCGGGATATCCATGAGTAGAAAAAGGCTGACACGTTCACGATGGAGGTCCGATTTTACAATGACCAAATGGAAATAAAATGCGGTTTAAGAAAAACTACAAGGAACATGTTGGCATTTACAACGTAAAGATATGTCAAGAGACACATCCCGACCTCTTCACATTTGGGACCCATGGGAAAAGGTCTCATGCAAGCCTGCGCTGTGGTCAGGAGGTGTCATTTATAGTACGACACCGGCAGAATAACGCTGGTAGTATGAATGCGCCCAGGACTCGTCGTAGTCTGGCGCGAAAGCTGAGACTTCTTGCCGAGAATTATTTTGGAAGCCTGATCACCGTCCTGAACTTTCTTTTTCACTTAGTCTAATCACTGGCCTAGCCAACTGCGCTACTTATAACTACTCAAGTAGCAGTGTGCCATTGCAGTATTTGCCCCACTCACTATCCCCGTGCTCTTGCCCAAGACTTTTTCGACTCATCATTCATCATTCAAAAACCCTAATCGAGGCATTACCTTTGCCGAAAACGGGTTTTTCTTTAGAAAATGAGAAGTGGTTGGAAGAGATTGGGAACGAGTATCGTGGAAAACTCATATTGTTTTTGTGTAACCCTGAAGATATTCATATGGAGGTTCAGTCTGAAGATTACTTGGACATCAGGCGCGATGGTTACCCACATGTGCGTTTGGCCATAAAACATTCCTCTGCGGTTTACAGGTAAAAGTAGTTACAAGTATGCTAGGTGAGAATGTAATTTTTAGTCGTGATTTTAGATTAGAAGATAGCTTCAGTGAAGAAGTCAACAAAACGACTGTGACCGCTTTTTTAACGGCTTTTGAAGAAGGAAAGCTGAAGCCGTATGTTCATCCGCGGTTGTATCAGCGTAGGCAAGAAAGACGAGATGCACCGTTGAAAACTTTGAGCACTAGTAATTACCAAAAGGTAGGTGGGACTTGATGTATGGTACGCGAGTCATGAAGTGTTCTAAACAATTGGACGTGCTTAATCGTCTTTTTTGCTTCTTTTATGCAATGTTACATGTTTCAGGTAGTAATGGATGATTCAATGTATGTGCTCGTACTTCTTTATACTGCCCGCCAATCCGACCTTATCCCATTATTAGAAAGAATAGCCGAACACTACAAGAATTCCATGAGTATTCTTATTGCAAAAATGGATATAGGAAGCAATCCTCTCCCAATTGAATTTCAACCAGTCGGGAAAGTCCCTTCACTCCGATTATATGAGGTGAAGAATATTTTGTATTTTTAAAAAAGAGGTTACAACGGAAAAACGCAAGAATATTAGACCCAAACCTCGATCAAAGTTGGGACATCCACTAGAACAACAGTGTAGGGTAGAATAAGAGGAATAGAGTGGAAATGTAGTTGGGGCAGGGAGGGGGGGGGGGGGGGGGGGGGGGGGGGGGGTGCCAGGCCCTTTCGGACTCTGCTCTCTTCATTTCTTACCCCATCTAATCATCTCACCCATCCAGGAGCTCCTCCCCTTCCAAAAGTTAGGGAAGAAGCTCCGGGGTGGGTGAACCAGTTGGATGTTCAATACTTACCCCATCCCAACTTTTTGCACGAGATAATCATCTCTCCCACCAAGGGCGCTGGCACCACCAACTACATTTTCACCAAGGAGTGGAAGATGACTGCTTTTAGCCTCTCATCGAATTAGATCCAAAAGCAAGGTAGTTGCCACGATAACGGAATAGATGTCGCGCGCAAACATTTGGCAATTTCCCAGGGTGCAATTTGGGTGCGAGTTAATACTAGAATATATGACAGCAGCAATTTGAGCAGAAACAAAAATTCAGAACGGTCATTTGGCTCCTACAGTAACCCAGCTGTAAGTACTGATTGGAACGAATATTCACGGTCACCTCCACGGTTACCCACGGGTGTGTTGCGATTCGTGCGATNCCCCAATGATAGGCGCAGGAGTTGTTTGAATCATCGCGAATTTCGCCGCGCAATATGCCGCGCGCACCCGGAATCGCACGAATCGCACGTCCCCCGTTACCCACCACCCATCTGTATCTGTTCTTGTCCAAAGTTCCTTTTAGATATGCTGTATTTGGGACGGGTAGAGATATGTTGTCTTCAAATAGAGATAATGTTGTGAAAAGAAATGATTACGTGACATTCTACGTCCATAGCATTTACTTCACCGTAATTTCGTTGTAAGACCAGAAAGAAACTTAAGAATTTTCGTTACTGTGGGGAAAAAATTGTTTTTTCATGTACGTTTTCGTCCACCGTTCTAGAGGTGTTACATAATTGTAGAGCTACACAAATATCGAAAGATCATACGACAATGATACGATAACCGAGGAAGGAATCATCAATTTCATTGAAGAAATTACCGGTATTACTCCGAATCATGAAGAAGAGCCAAAAGAAACTGCGACAGAATCCAAGCCGATCATTTCGGATATTGAACCGCAGAATCACGAAGAGCTGTAGACACGAAAAAGGAGAAAAGTAGCTAATACCATACAAATTTGAACTACTTTAGGCTGACGTTGGCATTTACTGATCGTTTAAGCTCTGCTGCGCATGAAAATGGGTAAATTCGGCGGGTAGTGTGCAATGAGCGATATTCAGTATGTGCTTTAACACACGTCATTTACAGTAAAGTTCAGAGCTCTGACCTAAGTCCTAGAGACAGTAATGTGCCTGGCGCGTACTAGGGACTGGCACGGCAGCAGGTTGCCTCGGCCGCAGGCTTCCACGCGGCGAACTGCGCGACCACGTCCACCGTTTGTCATTGGGGCGCCATTTTGCGATAGAGCGCCGCCGTTTGTCCTTGCGTTTTAGTTGTCGTCATTGTACATTCACTTGATTTCCTTTGCATTCCCCGATATTTCGTTACACTTTTCCGAAAATATTTGTTTTGTCCTTTGTAAAGCCGAGTTTTGTCCTTTGTAAAGCCTGGTCGTGTTGTGTGATGGCTTAGACTGTATACCTAATGGTTTACTATAGTAGAACTTTTTT